CCCTCTCCCTCTCTTTCCCCCTCTCCCTCTCTTCCCTGTCTCTTATACACATCTAGATGTGTATAAGAGACAGCTCTCCCCCTCTCTCTCCCTCTCTCTCTCTCTCCCGTCGAACCAAGCACAGCAACCAGCACAACGAGCACGAAGCAGTCAAAACCATTGAACCGAGCGCACCAACCGGCACAGCGAACACAAAACTATTAAAACCGTCGCATGGATACGACGCTAAAAACCCGGACCAGCAACAACCGTTAAGATTGTCGACACGGCCGCGGACCGGACGGCCCGATAGAAGTTTTGGGAACCGTCTGGCGTGAATCCCCGAAACCTCTATCGGACTGGCCGCCCCGCCCCTGGCCCGGGCCGCCTCGAGAGCCTCACACATTGCTCGTCGGGCCCGCCTACCGGTCCCACCACGTTTCCCGACAGCGGAAAGCAGGATCTCACGGGAGCGTTACGCGAGACCCACTATTCACTTAAGGAGTGTTAAGGATATGCCAATATATCTGTCCATGTTCTAATGCACGATCCAGTATCATTTTGCACATTTTGAGAGTAGTGAATCAACTTTTTTCTTTTTTTTTACAAACTGTCTGGGGCATTTCTGACGGCAGCTCCCCGTGAGAGACGGGAAGTAAGTGACCGAAAGTTGTCGTTCACGGTTTTGTACAGACGTGCTCTTTCCTTTTTTTGTTTCCCGAAGGACTGCTCTTTCCAGAATGTCTTCGACTGCGGTTGTGGCCCGGCCCTGGTTGCTGCACGAGTTAAAACAAAGGCGGTACCAGTGCCACTCCACAATACATCCCAAATTCATTCCTGCCCCCCCCAGGTTCGGCAGCCCTTGGCACGCAGGCTGAAATGAGGATCGGGCCTCAACAACAGGTAGGTATTGGTGTAAACCACCAGTACTTGGCCCAGCTATAGGCCGCCGAAAAAAATAGAGTAGAAACGTTTCTAGTTGGATGAATGTGGGCGCTCCTGTAGTGGCCCGTATGTTTCCTAAAATTGCATAGCGTTAATGGGTGCGACTTTAGGAAGTGCTGGTGGTTCAAGTTCAGACCGACTCCGTCATGATGGTCGGCGGAATCTGTGTGCCAACTGTTAAAAAATGGCCAAATACCCTTGTAAGGGTATTTGGTCTTGTAAGGTATTTGGTCCGACAACGTCCTTTTGCGAAGTAGTCTTCAATACCATGTTAGACCCGCCACATGAAGGGGGTCCTTCTTACACCCATCCTACACCTACCCTTCACCCGACCATAATATTGGATCAACATGGGGAGTACAGTCTCGAGGTGGGATATGCCACCCTAGCACTCGCACGATTGTGGGACTACGTTGTTTGGAGAGGAAATATGGTTGATGCCAACACGGCATGCAAACCAACCTTGTTACTCGTAGCGGGAGAGTGGGGTCTGCACTTGTTCCTCATAGCGGGAGTGTGAGGTCTACAATGAAGATCTGGGGGTACTGTAACGGGAGAGTGGGGTCTGCACTTGTTCCTCATAGCGGGAGTGTGAGCTCTACAATGAAGATCTGGGGGTACTGTAACAAGGTTGGTTTGCATGCCGTGTTGGCATCAACCATATTTCCTCTCCAAACAACATATTCCCACAATCATGCGAGTGCTAGGGTGGCATATCCCACGTCGAGAGGGTACTCCCCATGTTGATCCAACAACTCTACTGACCCCATGCTCCTTTGAACAACGTTTACTAAAGGTGACGAAGTGGTGGAACTCACGGCATGTGTTACTGTGCGTGACAGGATGGAGCAACCAGGTTTGGCGGTGCCGCGCTGCGCGCCAAACTTTTTGCCAAACCGCCAGCGGCGCAAATTTGTCTCCTTTTTTGGTTGGGACCACCGATCGATTTCATCGATCCACACAGACATATCGTGTATCCATCCGTAAGATAAAGCAATCAATGAATCCAATTAATTAATCAATCAATCAATCAATCAATCAATCAAGTGGGAAGCGTGCCCGCAGAGCGTTGATTGGATGGATGTTGATTCTTCTTCCGTGAGGTGTGAGCCAATCAGTCTCGTGATTTGCGAAAAAAACAGAACTTGGGAGGGAGCATAATTGACATCTCTCATTCTCTTTTTCTCTCTCTCACTCTTTCTCCCACTATTCCTCTTGTCCCCTTCTTTAACCAGTTTTTCTCTCCCTAGCTTTCTTTTTTTGTCCTTATCATATTCTCTCTCTCTCTCTCTCTCTCTCTCTCTCTCTCTCTCTCTCTCTCTCTTGCTCATAGACCTTTTCCTTATTAAGTAATACTTGAGAAAGGAGACGGAGAAAGGGAGGAGGAGGTTTTTTTTTTTTTTTTTTTTTTTTGAAACCGAGGCAGGTAGGAGGATTTGGTTAGGAGGAGGGAGGCGCGTCTTCTTCCTCTTCCGCGCGAAAGGTATTAAGGCGGGAACAAACTTGGCGGGAAAATATTGGCGGGGAAATATTGGCGGGGAAAGCTAGCAGCAGGTATCGAGAGAGAAAGAGGAGATACGTACGTACCATCTTCTACGGGTCTCGCCGCACGGCACACGAAACGAAAACGAAACGAGTGCATCTGCCCACGAAAGGTGGCCAAATACTCTCGTTACTATTTATAGCAAACCGATGAACCTAGCCATTTTCTTCAGGAAGATGCACTCGTTTCGTTTTTCGTTTCGTGTCCCGTGCGGCCACGCCCTATATCTGTGTCCTTTTGATTGATCGGGATGCTACCGACGTCGGGATCCCGACTGCTGCTGACATGGCAAACCTGCGGAGGAAGGGCTTCTCTCGATCACCATGGTCGTGCTGGGCGACAGCGACGACGCTTCTGGTGATCGCCACGTGGGCGCGCCTCAGCGACGCTGAGCGAGCGGAATGTGATGTGTCTGTTCAATTGGTATGGCGCGAAGCTCCCTACACCTTTTTTTTGTTTCTCCCTGGTTTTATTAATTTTCTTTCGCTCTCTTTCTCCCTCTCTTTCGCCCTCCCTTTCTCTCTCTCCGGCCGTCTTTGGATGGCCAAAATCTACCGCCCTTGAGGTCTGGCTCCCCTTTTACGTATTTCTTTCTCTCTCTCTCTCTCTCTCTCTCTCTCTCTCTCTCTCTCTCTCTCTCTCTCTCTCTCTCTCTCTCTCTCTCTCTCTCTTTTTCAGCTTTCCTTTTGTGGATGTACAAGGCGCTGCGTTTGTGGGTCTGTCTTTCCTTTTACGTACATATGTTTCCTATATTTATTCCCTTGGTTGTTCTCTCTCTCTCTCTCTCTCTCTCTCTCTCTCTCTCTCTCTCTCTCTCTCTCTCTCTCTTTCTCTCTATTTCTCTCTCTTTTTCACTTTGATACCTCTTGCTTTTTTTATGATTTTTTTTTTCTTCCTCTCATCCTCCTGGACATTTCGTTCTTCCTTCCGCCCCCTCTTTAGAAAAACATTTTTCCGTTTTTTTTTTTTTTCTCTTTGTCTCTCGGAACTTGTGCAATTTCTTTTTCTTTTTTTTTGTTTTGTCTTACGACATCCCTTCCCTTTGTTGTTTCCACATCCGTATCCCAACTGGGTTTTTTTTTTTTTCCCTCATCTTTTTTTTTTTTTCTTTTTAATTAATCTGCGCGCGAAGGCTACGAGTACTCGAGGAAGAGATACGGGTCTCGATATCTCTTCCCTCTGCTTTCTCATCCCTCGCTTTTATTCTTCGCCTTAAAAAAAACAAAAAATCGTCTCAGATCCGTTCATCTTCTCCCTGGAATTTCCGAAGAAAGTTTAACCCCTAAGAAATCGCACCTCCTTCTCCTTTCTCCGCCCTCGCTCTTCTCCTTGCGTTCAAAAAAGAAAAAAAGAAAAAATCTCTCGACGCGAACCCGTGCTTTTTTTCCTCCATGGAATTTCAGAAAAAGAAAAACCGTAAAAAAATGTGCCTCAGTCGCTGTCGAGGAAGAGAGACAGGTCTCGATCCCTCTCCCTCTCCTTTCTCGTCCCTCGCTTTTATCCTCCGCCTTTGGGAAAAAAATAAAAATAAAAATCTCAACCGCGAATCCGTCCTTTTTCTCCCTGGGATTGAAGAAAAAAAAAATCAAAAAAATTATGCCTTTCAGGGCCTTGCCGCACCACTCGGCAAATGCCACTTATTCTGAATGTATCTGGATCAGTAATTCGTCCCGATGCGCACAAAATTCGGTCAGTCTGCCTTCAGAATGAATGCTCTTTCACCCTCTTCTGTCCTCTGTCGCGGGATCTTCGCCCTCTTTGTTTTCACATGAGATTTAGGTGTGGATTAATTGAAAAAAAAAAAGATTGGGATAGAAAATCGATGATAGTGAAGTGGAAAAAAAGGAAAAAAAAAAGTAACGCAACAGAGCATAAATAAATAAATAAATAAATGGTTTAGTCTCGAAATTGAAGCACTGCAATAAAGTTAAAAAAGAAGAAAACAAAGGGGTATGAACAAATTTTAGCATAATTAAAGCATCTTTTTTTTTGAATCAATCTATATTGCGGCGAAAAGAAGCATCCGGTTCTCTCCCCCTTTCTCTCCCCACACACACTCTTTGCCCCTGTAACCGCGCCCTCTCTCTCTCTCTCTCTCTCTCTCTCTCTCTCTCTCTGTGACTTGTCGTTGGATAGAGAAAAAGAAAACTTATGATTTATTTTTTTTTCATGGGAGGTCTCCATTATGTCCGTCTTCTTGACCAGTGCGAGCCGATGGGTTGTCGCCCGGTCAGGTTTTCCGTACGATTTTGAATTTGAAATTACAAAAAAAAAAATACCAGTTTGAATTTGATTTTTTCTGATTTACTAGAGAAAGTAAATCGTGAGAAAAACAAAATAAATACCAGTTTCTGATTTGAAATTTTCAAACGAGAATTCAGTTGGGAACGGAATTCAAATCGAGCGATTTGTTTGAATTTAAATTCAAAGAAAAATATTTTTTTTTTGTTTTTGTTTGAAGTAAAACTTAAAGAATATATAGCCACATATAACCATATATCGTCATAGAGAACTGCCTATGGTTAACCATTGGGAGAGAGCGAGAAGAGGAGAATAAACGAAGGGTCTGTCACGGACCGTTTCGTCGGAGTTTCACCTACTCATCAGGAGGCTGAACCCTGTACATATGGACGATATATATATATATATATATACAGTGTAATCAGTGAGGGGATTCAGCAGACTGTTGAGTGTTCAGCCTCCTGATGAGTCGGTGAAACTCCGACGAAACAGTTTGTCACAGCCCCTCGTTTGTTGTCCTCTTCTCTCTCTCTGCCTACGGTTTTACCGGGCAGTTCTGTTTGTGACGATATATACTACGACTTCGCTAGCTTCCTGCTACGGTTTTTTCCGGTCAGGTCGAGCGGCAGTGGTCGGGGCCGTTACTAGGCGGCCATGCTGTGCCTCTAGTGCCAGCGGCGTGTCTGGAGTGTATTTTTTGGCTGTGACAGACCTTTCTTTGTTTCGTGGATGTTTTGCTGGCTTGTGATGGGGTGTGAACCGACAGTCTGTAGAGTTTTCCATCTGGTGTGGGTGAGTGATAGTCTACTTTGATTTTGGTTAAGGTAGATTATCATTTACAGTGTAATCAGTGAGGGGATTCAGCAGACTGTTGAGGGTTCAGCCTCCTGATGAGTCGGTGAAACTCCGACGAAACAGTTTGTCACAGCCCCTCGTTTGTTGTCCTCTTCTCTCTCTCTGCCTACGGTTTACCGGGCAGTTCTGTTTGTGACGATATATACATAGATACATAAATACGGAACAGTTTGTCACAGCCCCTCGTTTGTTGTCCTCTTCTCCCTCTCTGCCTACGGTTTACCGGGCAGTTCTATTTGTGACGATATATATATATATATATTATATTATATTGTCACACTGTGAATCGGAGCACATATCTGTGGGATGTGTCATTTGCTTTCTTCCCTTGTCTTTTCTTTGATTGGATCCCTTTCTCTTTCTCTTGCCTCTGTGAGGGCTGGTTTCCTCCTCCTTTTCTTTACCTCTTTGCCTTTTGGCTGCGTGCAAGTGGGTCCACGTGACACACGGGGATGGGGGCAGCCAGCGGTCAACCTGTCATCCACGTGGCTGGCCTTGTACGTAAGAGGTGATGAACAGGTGGTGGGGCTTTCCTTCCTTACTTCTTTTCCTTTTCTTGTTTTGCTTTTTTTCGCCTTTCGCGCTCTGATTCACAGTGTGACTATATATATCGTCACAAACAGAACTGCCCGGTAAACCGTAGGCAGAGAGAGAGAAGAGGACAACAAACGGGCTGTGACATATATAATATAAATAATATATATATATTGTCACACTGTGTATATGTATATGTCATCCACGTGGCTGGCCTTGTACGTAAGAGGTGACGAACAGGTGGGGCTTTCCTTCTTTTTCTTTTTCTTGTTCTGTCTTTTTCCGCCTTTGCGCTCTGATTTCCATTGTGACAATATATATATCGTTTGTTGTCCTTTTCTCCCCCTCCGCCTACGGTTTACCGGGCAGCTCTGTTTGACGATATAGTCGGTGAAACTCCGATGAAACAGTTTGTCATAGCCCCTCGTTTGCTATATATTCAGAGTGTGACACTATA